TGAGAAAATCAACAAAAAAGCAAAGGAAATGAACTGGAGCTAATAAATATGAAATTAAGCAAAAATTAGTTAAATTGAAAAATTCAAATTGCAACAGCTGCTGAAGATAGCTTCATAAAAACTTGAAATAAAGAATAATTATTTACAAATGTGAAAACTACTTACTGATCATTTTCCATATTCTGTAGTTTTTTAACAAAATGAATACCACGAATATAGGGCTCATTACATGTTGCAAAAAAAAATACATCACTTAATGGAGTCCAAGCTGCTGCCACACAAAGACCTTTGAACTTTTTCCATCGTTCTTCATGCCATGAATGACGATCGTAAACACTTCAGACATAAACATGAAAGTATAAAGTAAGGAGAAATATTTTATAACTGGAATTAAATTAAATTAAATAACTCATTGAAGATGTAAACAGAATCCTTATACCTTATGATATTTTCGTCATATGCAACGGCTATTTTACTACCGTCAGGGGAAATCCATACATGACGAATACGGCCACCACTCCAAGAACGAACTAATTCGCTTTCACCATTACTTGTGTCCAGAACCTAACGTACTGTATAATAATAATCAAAAACGAAATGCATTTACTTAGTAAAAATACTGGATTTCCATTATATGCAACAGCTCTTTCACCATTAAAGTCATATATGACAAACCCAGAACTCATGTTTTTAACATATCATAGTCTTGACAGAAACCTACTATGTTTAATCTATAACGATCCTGTATCCAGAAGTTGTTGTACTCATTTTACAAAAAAAAGAAAAAAAGCTTTTAAAGAAATATCAAAATGCTTTTGTGAGATAATGACTAAAAATGGGTATATTCAGGTTTAGAAAAAAATACATGCAGAATATGATTATTCTACATAATAAATTGGATATGGAATGATTCTCCCAATCCCTTGTTAATAAACAATTAGTCCATTATAAATAATATACGAAGTGGATGTCATGTTTCTGAAAGAAGAAAACCCGGCAAAGCTAGAGTTTTCTTCCAGAATTTCTAACACTTCAGAATTCCTACAGCTGATAGCCTATTCGAAATCCTGAAAATACCACTTCATAAAAGGAGAGAAAAAGTACCTGCAAGCACGATGATGATGCCGAAACAATAAATAAAGCTTGATTGAAAACAGAATCCCACAAACACTGGGTGATTGGAGCAAGTGATGACATTTCGATGACATCTGCGCAATTTACTGATGGTCTAGAATGAAAACAGCGAAAACTACTTTCTGCTCGAAAATTTGTACATACTACTTGATATACAGCAAAATATATTTTAACCAACCGGATATTCAGATTTTGCTTGTCGAGCCTCCAAATTAACACAGTATGAGTACAAGCCACTGCTAGCACCATACGATCAAAAGGCCTAAATGAGCAGACTGTAAGCTTCGCAAACTTAATCGATCACAGAGACTATGCTACAAAAACGATTTTTGTAAAATGTGATGTAAATTAAAACAATTCAAAATGATTTATAAAACTGGATGTCGATAATTGATAAGATTTGTAGTTATCAACTAAAATTCGGTAGTGAAAAAAAGAAACGATTTATTTACTTCCAAGCCATATCAGTTACATTTTGCTGATATTGGTGCTTCAGTGTAATAGGTAATCGATCAGAGTCGCAAGAAAATATTCTAATATAATCGTTATTTTGACATATCGCAATTCGACGACCGCTATTATGTACCGCAATACAACGAGCCCAATTTGTCAGCCTAAAATGACAAGCCATGTTCGCAATACTCCTACCCATATGATAAAACATTTAACTAAAATTCAAATAAAACAAAAATTTTATTATTAAAATTACAATATTTAGAGAGGTTTAGCTCAGATACTGACTACAATAATCCAAATATAAGCCAGGGCTCATATTTGGAATATTGTAATCGGTGCCTGAATCGGTGACTAAGAACCGTCAAAAAAGAAACCACGTTATAAAGTTGTTTTATACCTATGTGTAATATAATTTGTTTCCTATAATCGCCGGATTGGGACAACGAATAAACTTCATGTAAACGTCTTATGAGTCAAAAACATTACCAATTTAATGTAGATGAAGTTTGCATAATGGAATCATATAAGCCTTCTTCGGATTTAGCAAAAACATTAGTGATATCAAAGTGAGCTTTATTGATGATCTGACCTGCAGATGAAAGCCAACTACTGTAGGGAACAGTACTACTCACGGCATTTTTAACACGATCAACCAGATTCTCGATAACTTTGGTAGTCCTCAAAGACAACTATTATCATTTATCAANCATTTATCATTTATCAAGGAAGAGTTAGGAAAATAATAAAGTAGCAAACAACACAATTCACAGACTACAATGAACTATGAGTTTGGACTTCCTGCCATATCAAATATAAGTCTGCTTAACGAAAATTTTCCTTTCTTTCAATTTCAAGGAATTATTATATCAAATTAAAAACGGAAAGTATTATTCACTAACCAACCACCTACGGTTTGCTGAAATCCATTCCGTTGATTGCCCATGAAGGTTTCGCGAACACCATCACGCGATGATGATTGTTGCAATCGGTTTAATAATCCATTTTCAATTTTAGGAAGCACACCTAACTGAAACATTCAGTATTTCCCATAACTCCCCAACATTTTCACAGACTTATTCATGCAAAATAATGACACACTTTAAATATACGAGAAAATAAATTTTTTAGTGAAAATAGATTTTTGTGTCAAGCTAACAAATGAAATATTTCCTTACCAGAGAATGGATAATTTTGTAGCATAGCATGAAATTTTGCATGTAGATATTTATAATTTTTACATATGCTACCTATCACTCTACTTGCTTTTTAGGCATCTACAAGTGAACAAATTTATTTTCAGATATTATATCAAAAAGCAAAAAATTACTTGCATACTTATTTTTCATCTATTTATACATTAACGAATTTATTCTATATTAATACTTAAAGACAAGTCACACTTAACTGGATAATGAATTACAAAAAAAATAGTATACATCAGAGAAAAAAAACTCAACTACTGAATTAGTCGCTGTGTGAAATAAATTCGTTAATGTATAAATAGATCGATTTTAAATTGTTCAGAACAAAAATGAATAAAAGTACACAGTTAGTCAATAATCTGATATCTAAGTGAATATAAAATATATTCATCAAAATGAATAATTTATTAGAAAATTTGATACGATACTTAACAAACCAATGCATTCTCTTCCATTTCATATAATTCCTCCTTAGTACCGTAAATTAATCGACCGTTTGTTTCATACAAACAGAATGGAAGATCATCTGGTGATTCGATCGGTGGAAACTGATACGATGACATACCCAAAAATTTTCAAATGGCTAAAAAAATGAAAATTATTCAAACATTTCTATCACTTTGATTATTTTCTATTCTAACTAATCATTTTGCAAAATTTTTTGAATTTTTCAAACAATTTTCCAAATCCAAAAATATGAAACAAATCATGCAAGAATTATTTCATACGAGTTTTTAATTTCAAAAAATTTTTTAAAAATTTGAGAAATTAAAAAATTTAAAAAAACGAAATAAATTTATGCTAAAGAATGATAAACATCACCCTTAACCCCGACATTAACCCCTCCAATCAAAAACGACCAAAATCATCGAAGCCTTTGAAAGCTTCCATTCTTACTGCCTCAATTTCTCCTCTCAGGACTCCATCACATGTATAGGAGCTTTAACAATTAGTAGCTCACATTATATATAACCATAACCTATAACCGTACGTATAATTAATATATAACCTATGATCATACGTATAAATTAAAATGTATACGTTTACGTGTACTCATGCTATTGATGGCTCAGATTTTATGCGTCTGAACGTGTTTAATCAAACTGTTATTAACAATGTTTTTTTTCTCAGTCATACAAATCGTGTCAAAATCAGGTAATATTTTCAAAGTGATAAATTTTGCCATTCTCAGTAAGATTTTGAGCGGTAAACTCTTTATCTTCCAAGAACTCTTCTGGTTCCGATAATCATTCCAGTACTTTCAGGAAACATATTGAATGAGGGTAAAAGTTTAACTTGTTATTTCTTTTCTTTTAAATGATACTTTCAATTATCTTTCTCTTTCACCTTTTAAGTTTGCAATCATTACTTTCGTATCCTTCCTTATTCCGTCCCTTGGCAAATTTTAATCATACATATTATCATTCATTATGTAAATTTGTTATTTCATTAAAAGGAAAAAATGCAAATCCGAAATTGCAATAATATCAAATTAGAAATCTAAAAATTATTTCATCAAATTCTAATGATGATGTTGACAGCAAATTTACAATCAAATAAAGGATGAGATATGTTTTACTTATATATTTATTTATTTATTAACTTTTAAATGATTTTTTTTAAATCAGTACTTTATATTTTATTTTAGAAATAAATAAATAAACAAATAAACAAATAAATAAACAATAGATTTGTTTTTAATTTAAAATATTGAAAAAAATTTTTGCTTTGTTACATTTACTGTTTAGTAATTAATTTTTAAATGATTTTTTGCAAATTTTTTTAATCAGTATTTTATATTCTTACTTTGGGAATAAAATAAATAAACAAATAAACAAACAAATAAACAATAGATTTGTTATTAATTTAAACTATCGAAAAAAAATTTTTTTTTGTTACATTTACTGTTTAGTAATAAATTTTTGATTTTTTGCGATCTTTTTAAATCAATACTTCATTATTTTATTTTAGAAATAAATAAATAAACAAACAAACAAATAAACAAACTATGGATTTGTTTTTAATTTAAACTATTGAAAAAAAATTTTTTTTTTGTTACATTTACTGTTTAGTAATTAATTTTTAAATAATTATTTTTAATTTTTTAAAATCAATACTTTGCTATTTTATTTTAGGAATAAATAAATAAACAAATAAACAAAGTAAACAAATAAATAAACAATGGATTTGTTTTTAATTTAAACTATTGAGAAAAATTTTTTTTTGAAATAATTTTTTACTTTTAATAAAACGAAAGAAAATAACGAAGGAAGAAAATATGAATGAATTGCATTAGCAATATTTAATAATATTAAACAATTGTGATTTTGTTTATTGTCAAAATTATTAGTTAGCAATTATTTTTCAATGATTGGTACTTCTTATGGTACTTGTTATGGTACTTCTTTATGGTACTTCTTATTTGATATTCTCCACATATTATAATAGATTAAAAGTTTTGCTTAAGATAAGAATGTTTGAGAGAAAATGAACAAGTATTTTGAGAAAGGAAAGGCTTAAAAAGGGATGAAAAAGAAGCATTAAGAATATTTGTTGGATTTATTTAGAATGGTTGATAAATAAGGCCTAAGTATAGATATATATGTATGTATGTATGTTTAAGGCTTTCCTTCGTTTTAAATGATTGGTTGAAAAACGAATTTTTACTTCTCTTTTATTTTTTTGTTACCACCTCTTCTTTCTCTTCTCTTTTTCTTTCTCATTTAATTTGAAAATGTCTAAAACGATCATTGTGATATATACTTGAAAATATTTTATTGAAAAATGAATGAGCTATATTCTACTACAACTACCACTATTACCACTACTTCTACTACAACTATTACTGGAACAGGAAAACAGGAATTATTTTACGGATTGAAAGATTGGACAAATAAGAATATTTTTGCTTCATCAATTGATGAAACAGTATTTGTTAGTGGTTATCAGAATCAGGAAACAATTGTTACCGAAAATAGCAATAATATTCAAGGTTCTTTTATATTCTTATCATTATAATCATTATAAATTATCATTATTATTATTATTATTATTATTATTATTATTATTATTGTTATTATTATTATTATATTACTCAAATATTATTATACTATTCAACTATTATTATATTACTTATTATTATTACAAATTATCGCTATTATTATTATATTACTTAAATATAAATATTATACTATTCAATTATTATTGTATTATTATTATTATAAATTACTATTATTATTATTATATTACTAATATATACATATTATTATCCTATTCAATTATTATTATATTACTCAAATTTACTTATTATTATAAATTATCATTATTATTATTATTATATTACTAATATATGCATATTATTATACTATTCAGTTATTATTATATTACTCAAATTTACTATTATTTGCAAAAAAGAAATTAGCACCTTTTTTTTTAAATTTTATTCGTAATATTTTAGCAATTAGTAATTGTGAGAATTTTAAAGTTTATAAAATAAATTGAATGAGAATTGATTTAAAGAAATGAAACAAATATTTAAGAAATTTTAAGAAAAATATATAAAAGTTGTACAAATATTTTTTAATTAATTAATTAATTAATTAATTAATTAATTAATGGTTAAAATCATGCATTAATGGTTAAAATATGAGTAATGCCAAGTAGCAACAAATTTAAAATTTTAAATTTAATCATTTTTAATAATTATTTTACACATTTGCATTAATTGTCATTGTATTGTCAATTGTTTTAGCAAGTAAAAGATATGAATCGTTTAAAAAATTTCGAAGAAAAAAGTACCGTAAATTAATTAGTAGTTAAATTATAATATTATCAATTTCTGATCAACAGAATTTACAATTCAATTTATGTAGATCACTTTGATGGAAATTTAGAAATATCAAAAGTATATTAGTTAATAAAAATTGAAGTAATTAAAATTGATAATTAGTTCAAGCATTTTTTTCTTTTAGAAGTATCGGCAGCAGTTGATGAGGGACATGGTACAGTAAAATCAATTACAGCATTACAGGCTGCCTGGAATGTTACGAATGCAATTCAGGGAATGTTTATCGTCGGTTTACCGATTGCTGTCAAAGTATAACTTTGTCGTAACATAAAAGAAAAAATGAGATTAATAATCAAATACAAAAATTTTCTTTCTTTAATTTTCAATTTTAAAATTTTTCAAATTTTAAATTTCATCAATTACTTAAATGATAATATTATGACGGGTTGTTCACATTTTTTTCGCTATCAATTACTTTTTTATTTCAAATTTATCTCTTATGAATTTTAGTGATATTATCTTAACAAAGCAATAACGTAAAGGTAGTACGGTTTTCAAATTCATACCTTAGTTTGTATGGTTTTGGTTTTCAAATTTATATTTTAGTAGTACGGTTTTCAAATTCATACTTTAGTAGTGCGATTTTGGTTTTCAAATTTATACCTTTAGTATCACGGTTTTCAAATTCGTATTTTAGTAGTACGGTTTTCAAATTCATACTTTAGTAGTACGGTTTTCAAATTCATACTTTAGTAGTACGGTTTTAGTCTTCAGATTCATATTTTAGTAGTACGATTTTGGTTTTCAAATTTATACCTTTAGTAGTACGGTTTTCAAATTCATACTTTAGTAGTACGGTTTCAAATCCATACCTTAGTAGTACGGTTTTCAAATTCATACTTTAGTAGTACGGTTTTGGTTTTCAAATTTTTAATTGGGATGAAATTTAAGAATTGCTAAAATTAAATTTATCCCTAAAAGCAATAGCATGAAAAAAAATTAGCTATTATAATCGTCAATCGATTATCTTAATTTGATTATTTAATTTCTATTTTAAATTTTCTAATTCTATTCAAGGTAGGTGGATGGTGGACAATTGCAGCAATTATTGGCGTTGCATATTTATGCTATTGGACTGGAGTTTTACTCATCGAATGCTTATACGAAGATGGTGTCAAAGTAAGCTATACCTTTTTGTTGATATCAAACAAAAACAAAAGAAAAATTTTGAATACCTTTTCTGAAATTTAATGAATAATTTCAATTAATTTTAATTTAAAATATTATACAAAAAAAAAGTTTTGATATTAATGAAATATATTTATGAAATATTAAAAATTTTTTTAAGTTTTATAAAAAGTTTTAAAAATTCTTTTACACAGGTAAGAAATACATATCAAGCGGTAGCTGAAGCTTATCGTCCAGGAATGGGTCGCTTTGTATTATGTGCCCAATTAACAGAATTACTCAGCACTTGTATTATTTATATTGTAATTGCTGGAGATTTACTACAAGGTTGCATACCATCTCTTGGTAAGAAGATAATTATAATATTAAACAAATGAGATAAAATTTTCATAATACTACTTTATCGTATCATTATTCTATAAATTACAAAAAAATAATGTTTGTTATTTCAATTAGGTATATTTAGTAATTAATTTATAATTTCAGATATACCATTATTATAATTAAATTTCAACATATTTTAAATGAATAAATAAATACTACTTTATCGTATTTTCTAAATTAGAAAGAATAATCTTTATTATTTCAAATTTTAATAACAGTATATTCAATAATTAATTCATAATTCCGATATATCATTATTATAAATTAAATTTCAACATATTTTAACTAAATAAATAAATACAAATTTATCGGATTCTTTAAATTATAAAAAATTATGTTTGTTATTTCAAATTTTAATAATAGGTATATTTAATAATTACTTCATAATGCCAAATATACCATTATTATAAATTAAATTTTAACACACCATTATTATACTACTATATCATTATACCATTATTTATACCATTTATACCATCATATCATTATTATACCATTTATACCATTATTTTAATGTACCATTACTATAAATTAAATTTTAGCATACTTTAAATAAATGAATAAATATATATTTATTTATTTAAAGATCTTAGATTAGCTTTTAGCAATTAATAAATGTCCAAGCACTGAAAATACATTTGAACACTTATTGAAATATACTATAAAGCATTCAAAATTGAAAATTCAAAATTGAAAATTCAGAAAAAAGAGTAATTAAAGAAAAGCAAAAAAAAAAGTTAAGAGTAGAAAATTAAAATTAAAATTAGCGAATAAAATTATGAAAAAGAAAAGTTATTTGCCTGTTTTACTTTCTTCATTAATTTTCATTAATTATATTAATTGTGAAAATTTGCAGATAAATCTGCTTTAATGATGCTTGTAACAACAGCACTTCTTGGTTGCGCTTTTTTGGATTCAATTCGGATAGTGAGCAATTTAAGCTTAATAAATGCTATCTCACACCTGGTTATTAATTCTATTATATTCACTTATTGTTTATTTCAGGTAAGATGCATTTTTTTTTCTTTAGATATTCGAAAAATATGCTAATTTTGCCAAAAAAAGAAATTTGTAAATTTAAGAAGGTATTTTTTTACAACAACGTAGTAGAGTATGAATACTTATTTATAGGAGTTTATTGAATGCGTTGAAAATTTTAGCCATTTATGAATGAATTCAAAATTTCGCTTTAGATAATAAAAGTTAATTTAAAAGTAAACTTAATCTTTAATTTTAAATTTTCAAAATTACGCAAACATTTTTTTTAGGTTACGTGACTTTTCTTTTTTTACTAAAATTAAAAAAGATCATTCTTAATTTAGCAAACGTTTCTTTTTTAAAGTTACGTGACTTTTTTTTCTTTTTATAAAATTTAAAAATTTAATTTTCAAAATTGACGATATCGAATTGGGTATGGGATAAAGTACCATTTACATTTGATATTCATACTATGCCAACGGTGATCGGCGCAGTTGTTTTCGGTTATACTTCACACATTTTTCTTCCCTCATTAGAAGCATCCATGGAGGTTTAAAAATTTAACAATTAATTTTTTTAATATAAAATTTATACTCTTGCTCAAATGAAAATTCAAATTTGTTTTTAGCTAAATTTTGTTTGAATTCAAAATTTGCTATTTGAAAATTTCATCAGTTCTTTAATGAAAGAAAATTTAAACCATATTTTTGATGATCAATTTAAAATGTATCATTATCTATTATCAGTATCATATTATCAGTATCATTGTCTGATAAATTTAAGGATCCGAGAAAATTTAAATGGATGCTTCAATGGTCACATATTATTGCAGCAATTTTTAAAGCACTCTTCGGTCTTCTTGGCTTCCTAACATTTGGTGATTATACTCAAAAAGAAATTTCCAATTCATTACCAAATCAAACATTTAAGGTTTTAATTTAATTAAAAAAACAAAACGAAAATAAATCGCTATGATTAAAAAAATATTGATAATTAAATGAGAATTTAAATACTTAAAAGCTAATATCATTTAAATATTTATAATGATAATAATGATATCACTTTTTTTAAGTAATAATAAACTTAATACTGATTATAAATATAATGATCCATGATTATCATCCAAAACATCAAATATTGGTAAAATTATAATATGAAATGAAATATTATACATCGTGAAATTCCTATCAATATCTAATTCCTATTATTTAAATCATTATTAAAAAAAATAATTATATCATTTCTTCTTTTAGGTAATCGTAAATTTAAATTCTGATTATAAATACAATATTATTATATTATTATTTGATATCATTATTTGATCCATAATTATCCAAAATATCAAATATTGGTAAAACTATAATTTAAAATGAAATACTCACAAAATTCCTATCAATATCTAATTCCTATTATTTGAATGCAATGATATCATTTCTTCTTTTAGGTAATCGTAAATTTAGTACTAATTATAAAAGCACTCTTCTCATATCCATTACCATATTTTGCTGCTATTCATTTACTCAAAGATAATTTATTCATGGGTACGCCAAAAACACTATTTACAAGGTAAACATTATTATATAAAGGAAGTAAGAAAACACAAAATATATTATTAGGCAAAATAAAATTAATAGGAATTCTTCTCGTTTCCATTAAATCTTTCTTAATTAATTTATTTTATAAAATTTCATGGATGAGATAGGAGAAATTTATTGAGAACAAGCGAAAAGCAATCAAATGTAAAAATTAGCATTAATGATATGATTAATGAATATACTGATATCATTACTATTACTACTGATATGATTAAATATTTTATTCGATAGGAGAAATTGAAAACAAGCGAAAAGAAATAAAATGTAAAAATTAGCATTAATGATATGATTAATGAATATACTGATATCATTACTTGGTATTACTACTGATATGGTTAACTATTCTATTAGATAGGAGAAATTGAATGACAACAAGCGAAAAGAAATCAAATGTAAAAATTAGCACTAATAATATGATTAATGAATATACTGATATCATTACTTAGTATTACTACTGATTAAATGTTTTATTAACTACTATGATTAAATATTTTATTATAACAATATATTATTGATATCATTATCATGTTGATACGATTTAAAAATATTCATTACTTGGTATCACTACTGATAAGATTAAATATCTTATCATAATATTAATAGAATTTCCGGACAAGAAAAAAATTCTTATCAACATGCTAACAATATCAGCAATATATTTGCTTTTTAGCTGTTACGGTGTTGGCAATAGTTTACGTGAATGGGCTCTTTGTTTACGGATTATTTTAATACTAATGACGTTAATGATGGCATTATCGGTACCATATCTAATCGAATTAATGGGCCTTGTTGGTAATATCACTGGTACAATGCTAAGTTTTATTTGGCCAGCATTATTTCATCTCAAATTAAAAGGAGCACAAGCAAAAGAAAGTGATCGAAAATTTGATAAATTCATTATCATTATTGGTATCTGCTTAATGACTATTGGATTATACTTTTCTGCTCTCGAATTGATACAGGCAATTCGTTATGAACAACGATAGTATGAATCATTCTTTAATTTTTATCAAATTTCAATTTTTTCTTTTCAAACCAAATTTTCATTAATAAATTTCAAATCAACAAAAACTGACGAGAATGATGAAATATGAAGTAAATATTGCAATGATAAATGTATTTAAAATTGTTTTAATTTTTAATTAATTTTTAATTAAATCAAATTTGGTTTATTTTTTTAGTTTTAAAATTTAATTAATTAAATGTATTTAAAATTAATTTTTATTTTAAAAAAAATAATTGAAAAAAAGAATTAGAATATGAATATTTGATAATAAAGCCTATAATATTAAAACAATATATTAAAAAAAATTATTTTATTTTTATGTAATTGAACAATTTGAAATGTTTATTTTTTTAACATATACGTTATAAATTTAAGTATTATTTGCTATTACTTCTGATCAATTTAGTAGAGGTGAGACAGCTGGCAACAGTGATATTTCACATTGATTAATTTTGGTGAAATTTTGCATTTAATAAAAATTTTCAATTGTTTTTTTATGACCGTATAATGATTACGGTGATATGTATATTCACATTGATATCTGGTAAAGGCTAAAATATAATTCAGATATTCAAATTTCATTTCTTCATTATTTTAAGTCTTCGTTGCACATTCACATTGATATTGGATAGACCTAAAATATAATTCAGATATTCAAATTTCATTTCTCCATTATTTTAAGTCTTCGTTGCACATTCACATTGATATTGGATAGACCTAAAATATAATTCAGATATTCAAGTTTCATTTCTCCATTATTTTAAGTCTTCGTTACGCAATACTATGGGCTAAAAGAAATCGATCACTGTATGAAAAAACAAATAAATGATACCAATGCAAATCCAAGTATTTAATTAAAATATGTATTCTAATTTTATATTCTTCGCCTTTGGTAATAACATTCTCGGCGATAACAAATAAATAGTTTTTTTTGCAGACTTAAATCATTCTTTCCATTCGTTAATCAGTGGTTGCAAATATTTAATTAAATTGGCACTAAAATAAATTCATTAAAGGGGAAAAATTGTTAAAACAAATTTCGTCACAAAAAAACAAATAAGTGGTACCAATGCAAATTCAAGTATTTAATTAAAATATGTTCCTAATTTTATATTCTTCGCTTTTGGTAATACTTTCTCGGCGATAACAAATAAATACTTTAATTCTGAAAAGTGTAAACTTAAAAATTATTAAATCAATCTCCCACTTCAGTGTTCGGTTGTTTCAACCATTTCCCCGCGGGAACTCTCTTATAGGAAGTTTTTCAATTAATTTGCAACATTAAATTTCAACCGGAAAGGAGGAACCAAAAAAAAGGGAGTCAATTTTAAAAAAGTTATTAAATTTTGGCTAATTGAGTGCAAACCTTGTGAGTGGAAATGAAGCTGCTAATGGTAAGTTAGGTTCTACCATTTAGGCACCGTATGCTCGGGAGGATTTCAGTACCCAGTGGAGTGACTGGGTGATGAGTATATTTGCGTGTGATTTGTATCGATTACGGGTATTGCCGCCGGATTTGTTGCGTGTTGCATACCTCAGAATGAAGTTTGACGACAGAGAAAGCCTTTTTTATGCTATTATTCATTTGTTTATTTCAATCGAAATTACTTTGTACATAGTTTGTGGGAGGATTGAATATTTGCTTGAAGGTTTACGGATTTAACATTGGTGTAGATATCATGCTTACGTTAGATGCATATTATGTGGCGGCGGATTGCTTCAAGTAGCATATACCTTAATCATGTTATATATTGTCCACACGCGTTGTAACACTTTAACCGCACGATCGTTCTACTCCGACAGCCTAATTAGGGCAGCTTACTGACACGTTATTCAGATAACGTTTAGATTGGTTATGCTTTGTTTACCCTAGCTATGAGTAGCAAGCTTACATCAATCTAGGCTCAACCTTTCTACCATTTTTTCACATTTTCTGGATTGGCTATAGTTTTCACTCTCCTTGTTAAGTCTCATCTCTCCTACTATCATATTTTTATTTAATTGAGAGTTTAACAGTGTAAACTCAGTTAGAATAGATCTCTGTTGTGGTAAGCTTGAATAAATCCATTCGATAAGCGGTGATGATTGGTATGGCAAGGGAGAAATTTCATTTAACTACAAAATGACTTTAAATGGCCGACTTAAAATGGCCCTTCGTGTACAAGACCTGATTTTACTATTATAGTAATATTGTGCAATATTATGGATGGACGCAGTGATCACGTTTACTGTACATGATGTCGAATTGTATCTGTTTTTGAATTATTTTTGGTTAATTTATAATGGAACGCTTTTATGCTATCAATATTTTTTCCAGGAAATATGGGTGCTTACCGATACATGCAAGAGCTGTGGCGTAAGAAGCAGTCTGAGGTTTGTTATCTTTGTTTGTTTATAAATTGATAAAACGCTTCTAACGCCTAGTGATGGCAAGCTGATCTGGAAGTTCAAGCATGACAAACTAAAATGCCCAAATCTAGATTTTACAGAAAATTAGGAATTCGATCAATTAGGTCAATATCGAGTTATTCAGTGATTGCATTATTTGGAAAGCTTTCGGCATTTAGCTTCATAACATTCTTTAAATGCATAGTTGTGGACAGTGTGCATTTATGAGGTCACTGTAGCATCGGATAACCGACGGCATTTATGTATCTGTGACATTTAACATTTGAAGAATTCATATCATACTTAGCATCTTTCTGTATATGCCTATATGTGTGTATTTAGAAAAAAGGAGGGCGAGATTTTAAGAGTTAGCAGTGTGTGGATAGGTAGATGAGCAG